TTTTGTTCAGATATTAGTCGAGTTTATGCTACAATACGTTGTGAGTATAAATCTTCAGACTAGTGGAGCCAGATATCTCTTTATCTAGTAGCTAAATCGGCAAGTTTAAGATTGATAATTTTGGACGCACTCTGTGGGCACAATATATAAGAATTCACTTTCGAGAGAAAGGAGTTCTTATAGAAATCCCATGGGTTTCTAACCAAGTCGTTCATGCTTTATTCTTAAGCAAAACTTACACCCATACCCATCTTTTAATATTAAATGTTTATTTCATATTTTAAAGCTTTGCACCAATCAAAACTCAAATATTTTCTCAACCCGAAACATTGTTCAAGAAGTTCATGAAAGTCTCTGATTCTCAGTAAGTCTGGTCCCTGTGGAAACGATCTTGGTACTATACCACTTTATTACTTGAAGCGATCTTAGTGTTAGCGTGCACTTGCACCGCCACTTTGGGGATTTTATGCCCACTGTGTGCACACTATTTTAGCACATCACTGATATATAAGCATGTAAGTAATATTTCTTCGTACGTGTAACTATGTATGCACAATGAACGGTCCTAACTTGTAATTGGGTTAGCCGTTACGAGCCTAGTCCTAACGGTGGGGAAAACCCAAGGTTTTAGGACCCAGTTAGTCATTATGAAGTTTGGCAGTTAACTGATCTCAATCGACCCCATTTTGTTTTTGTTAGCTCGCTGTTGCTTTGAAGGAAGCAAGTTTGATGTCCAAACATTCACAATCTGTTATTGATTGGCCCTTAAATGAGCATTCAGTTATTTTATGCTCTAACTCTTGTTTTTGAAAGAGAACTAGCACTAGTTCAAACTTGTAGACTCACCGGGTTTGTAAAAATCTATGAATTTGATCATATGATCATTTTGTGCATGGTTACGTATAACCGGTCCAAATAGCTGTAAATTAGTAAGATGATATTCGAAATAATTGAATATTAATTATAAATATATTGGGTCACACTTCCAGATGTTATGTTCCCGAACTAGATTTTAGCTATTTTTTGAACTTATTAAAAAAGTCGTTTGAAACTAGTTTTATGCAGTATTTGAGCAAAAAGTTTTTAGCGACAATCTCGATCGGTCCCACACATAATCCGTTCTTAGGAATCACAGGTGAGAAGACATTGCAAAACTGACTCGACGACTGAAGCCAACGGAGAGCTTCAAGCCCTTCTCCTGCAAGGTTCGGTTCGAATTTGAACTTGTTGTGTATTCGATCAATGTCACTCAATCTTTTTGACAATTGACGCGTCCTAGGACTAGTATAAGTAGTATAAGCTTTTTACATCTTCCAGTTATTCTTCAGTATAATTTATCAACTAGTAGTTTCCAAAAGTAGATGATTCATTATCGGGAAATTGACTGAAATAACCGTTTCTCTCACATGAATTGGTTTCTTAGGGGCCGTTTACCTAAATACTTACTTGGTAAGCACTTACTGGTAAAATTCAACATTATCGCTTACTTATCGGATAAGATTTTATTCACTAAAATGCATCGTATGCAACAATTTATCCAAGTAAGCGCTAATCATGATAAGAGTTCTCGTCTTCACTTACCGGGTAAGACTCTTGATTCTTACATTCGCTCTTACCGGGTAAGATTTTTAGTCTTTGTCATATTCATCCCGTAAAAGTAAAGTGACTTGGTAAACGCTTATCCGGGTAAGCGTTTAGTAAACGGCACCTTAGCCATTCATCTTCCGATTTTACCCGAATATCATCACCTCCGTAAAATGACACCTCCACAATTTACAGAGGTGATTAAAAGACAAAAGAAAATACAATTTCTACTTATGTTTACAAGCTGAGAGATGTCGTTTGCGGACCTAAGTAAAACTTATAATCTGTAGAGGTAATGATATTGAGCAAATTGTATGAAAAAGTAACGTACTTTAACTTAATTTCTATTTTGGGTAACATATTTTCAGAACTTTTATTTTGGTACATAAGATGTAAAACTTTAAACATTTAAGTACCTAGGTAAGTGGTTGAAGCATTAACATGATACCATGTTGATGTGGTATTTGGTTAAGCTTCAGTAAGTACTGAGTTGATATCACATCACTCGTTATATCAACATAATAACCGGTTAATTATTCAATCAGTTATCTGGATACGTAAAATAAGTACCAAGTTAAAATTATTTTATCATGCAATTTCCATTTCTTATCATATCAATACCATCTTCTCAACTTAATTAACGGAGGGTTGGAAGGCGAACCCTAGAAGGCTGCATATTAGCCCAAAAGGCCCCCTCCCTCGCCTTATCTACCAGAGCCAAGAAGATTTCAAAAATGGCGATAATACCGCAAAACTTGCTGACAAACAACCTTCAATGGGTTCCCAATAAACCTCTATCCAATACCCTCAACCATAGTCGACCAATTACTCGTATCTTCTTATGTTCTACATCATCATCATTAGACAAGAAGTATAGCGGCAGATTAGGGATTAGTACCCATGGCAGCCATGTGAAATCATCGTTTGATTACAACAATCATAACGGTGTTAACACCAACAATGGTTTCTACGAGTACGAGCAGGGTTTAGTGGGAAACGGCCAACAATACCCTAGACCGTCGGAAGTTCCATGGAAGAAGGAGTTCTGTAATTCCGTTCAACTTATCGGAATCGTTGGTACTCCGGTTGAATTTAAGCAACTTAGTTCCGGTAAGGTCCTCGCTTGGTCTCGCCTTGCCGTCAAAAAATCCGCCACGGATACTACCTGGTAAATTCACCGGATAAAATTCTCTAATCGTATTGATTGATTGTGTTTTCAATTTTGAACTGTGTTATTAGAGTAAAACTGTTTGAAAGTAGGGCTTCGTTTATGTTATGTTTTGGGCGTTTAACAGTGATCCGGATTCTATGAATATTAGCACATAAGATTTGTTGGTTTTGTGAAATATGATTTGATGATTATGGGAAACTGGTAACATTCTAGAAAGATGATGATAGAAATAGAGGAATTCAGACACTATGCCATGTGTTCTTGGAGACCCCTGATAGATGAACTCATGGCAACATGCTTATCATATTCATCCAGCTGAATAATGGCCAAAAAAGTAGTTAAATACAAATGATTTCAAATGGGGATGAAAAGTGAAACCAAAGAGTAACATGGATTCTATTTAGATTCTTGAACACAGTTATGTAGAAAGTGCTAATAAGCTAGCTATTGGCTTATAAACTAGCTAATAAGCTAGCTATTGGCTTATAAACTAGTTGTTAGTTGAAAAGCTAGTTGCTTACTAGTTATTAGCTGAAGAACTAATCATGTTTGGTAAAAACTAGTTGCTAAGATAGATGACAATGTAAAATAACCTAAAATGCAAATACAAGGGGGAATCAATTATATAAAGGGCATAATTGGAAAGTGAGAAAAACTTAATAAGCTGTATGAAGTAACTTTTCAAAAGGCTAATATATGGCTTATTAGACGGTTTTTTTTGACAAACTCAAAAGATAAGCAGGCTTATAATTGCTGTACGTGGCCATTGGCCTAATTAGAGTTATTCAAACACCATGACCCCCACTCTTCAAAATCCGTAATTAGAGCTATTCAAATAAATGGTTAAATACAAAAGATTTCAATTGTGGGAAGAAAAGTGAAACCAAAGAGTAACATTGGTTCTATTTAGATTGTTGAACATAGTTATGTAGAAAGTGATTAAATAACCAAGGGGAACCAAACGCTTACCGGGTGAGCATTGCAGAGACCAAGAATCTTACCCGGTAAGAGGTATGGCAAGGACCAAGAATCTTACCCGGTAAGAGGTATGGCAAGGACCAAGAATCTTACCCGGTAAGAGNACCAAGAATCTTACCCGGTAAGAGGTATGGCAAGGACCAAGAATCTTACCCGGTAAGAGGTATGGCAAGGACCAAGAATCTTACCCGGTAAGAGGCATGGCAAAGATCGAGAATCTTACTCTGTAAGTAAGGAAGAAGTGTGCTTACCGAGTAAAAAATGCTATCAACAATCCACTTTAATGGCTGAAGTTGTCTGGATCATTTCTTTACATCTGAATTTTCTGCTTATACATTGACACCAACCTTCTTCTTTGTATCTAATATCGGATTTATCTGTAACAAGTAAATTGTTGATTGTTGAACCACGTTACGTAAATACTGTGTTTGATTATTTGTTTCATGCAACGATAATTTTGTAATTATTGATTCTAATGGGATGAATAGTAAACAATTTCATCTTCTCATCACCATAGTCACTTTCTTCGTAGTTCAGCGTATGTAAGCTCTTGGTTACAATAGAAAGCAGAATAAATATTATTGATTTCTGCAAATCTGAAAAACAGCTTTGAGTTTTTGTTATACTTCCCCGACCTTGAAATTTGTTGCGTTTGACCAAACACGAAGTTTTTGGCTAGTGTTTGACTATTTCCAAAATTTCTAAAATTGTCAAACATCCTTGAAGGTGTCTTTGGTACGCAGGAGAAAACGGGACAGGACAAAACAAAAACTTTTCCACGTTTGTCGTGACAATTAGATTGGGACAGGACATGAGTGAGTAGGACAAAGACAGGGAGATGGGATAGACTAGGTAAATTACTATACTACCCATGTCGAATTGAAACCTTCCACAAATTTTCACCCTTCAACTCACTCTTGCCAGTCCCGTCTAGTCCTGACCGTGTACCAAAAGCACTCCGAAGGACAAAATAGGGAACTTTTTAGACCAAAGTCAACAATGTCAAACTATTGCCAAATGGGTTTTTGTAATCTGCAGGCTTCCAACAAATGTAAATATTGAAATTTTCTTCGCTACCACCCATGCCATGCCAACAAATTGTTCAAGCCCAACATCATTTTGTACTATGCTCACTGCCACGTAATTTATCGATTCCATTAGTTTTTTTTTTTCACGTGCAATCAGATTTTTTCCCATGAATAACGAAAAAAGTAGGATGACCAATAGTTTGCTAACTCTATCCGTATGCTCTGGCTAATCATTTTGAACATTTTATGGTTCTTTTTAGGATCAACTTGACGTTTTGGGATGAGTTGGCACATGTTGCTTCTCAGCATGTGGAGAAAGGACAACAAATATATGTATCGGGCCGACTTGTTTCAGATACAGTTGATAGCGATGATGGCAAGCAACAAACCTACTATAAGGTTACCTTGTAATTCCCTGGCTATATTTATACACAACAAAACTGACACACACTCATCACCTTCGGTGAGGCTTGAACACCAACCTCTAAGGAGGTTGGGATCTACTGGTAACCCGGATGCTGTTGGGCCAATGACCATTTTGTGTTGTTGCCATTCTTGCTAATGTTTTGCCTCCTACATTTCTAACCTTTCATATGATTTTCGTTTTCACTCATACCTAAATGCTGGCAGGTAGTTGTTCAACAGCTGAATTTTGTTGAGAGAAGCTCATCTTCACTGTCTTATGATGGAGACTCCAACTTCAACTCCAGCTCGGGATCAAGCTCCATGACAACAGGCAATTACTTCCATAACACATACCCGTCCCAAATACGTGTTTCCTTTTTGTCGAAGTTGCAATAAAAATTTACTTTTTGTTCATTGATAAACCAACCAAACCAAACAAGTCCGGTATATCCCACCTGGATGTGGGGTTGCGGGGGTAAGATATATACATGCCTGACCTCTACCCGAAAGAGTAGAGTGACTGTTTTCATGAAGACCCTCAGCTAGTGAAAAGTGCTTGAAAGGGATAAATACAAATATGCTAACTTGTGAAACTCTGATGTCTCTACTGTTTTGGGTCACAAATGCCTCTGTTTTTGGAGTTATTGAGGGGTATTTATTATTTAAGATACCTTTGATCGAACTTTTTGCTCGATCAAACTGTGCATTTTTTCTTCGTTTCTTGGTCACATTTTAAATTAAAGAGATTTTTCAGGAATTATACTCCCTTTGTGCCCTGAAATTTGAATTGTTTGAATCTAAAAATATTTCTTAAAAGTGTTAGATTATTTACCAAATATCTAATACACCCTTTAACAACATGTGTACCTAGATCGACATTATTAGTGTGTTCTAGCGATGACAATGGGCAAATGAATACGTATAACATAAAAACCTTCCGGAACGGAAATTCTTTCAATTTTCATCGGATGTTGAAGTAACAAGATTCTAGTTTTTTGGTCCCCCCGTCTTAGCCTAGCAGATAATGAGGTGGACATCCTTCCAATCTTATCATCTTTTAAATGAAAAGTAGAACCATGTGAAACTCAACCTCGGACATTTATGTGAGAATTTCTTGAAACATTTTTTCGGTCCTTTATAGAAGATCCCCTCAGTTTTTCTATATTGTTTTGGTGCAGGTAAAAAGCAAAAGAATTATGCAGCAAACGGCACCGGATCGACAGAGGAACTATGGCAAGCTTTCTTCGCTAATCCTACCGAATGGTGGGATAATAGGAAGAACAAGGTACTTACGTATACGGGTTTAGGGTTTAACGTATTTGTTCTTTTCCCTCTGTGCCCACAAAATATAAATATTAAATGATCGAACGGAATGAAAGATAGTGCATCATAAGACCATCTCCGAAAAATTATCCAAAATGAAGCAAATGGAGATTTTGGATTTCTTAATAACTTTTTGCTCCAATAGATTCTCCAAAATTGAATGTTGAAGAGAGTGAAATGTTTTTTTATTGTTCCGGTCAATGAGGTTAGATATAGAGTTTAATCTTTGTCCTTGATGTTTGCAATTTTCAATGGGTATCGTCCCTGAACTTTAAGAACTTGGATTTGGTCACTCACGTTTGGCAATTCCCAACGGTTTTGGTCCCTCTGTCCAACGGTCATTAACTTTTTCCCTTAAATGAATTTGAGGGGTGTTTTTGTCATTTTCACTGTTTTGATTATATTAAAATTTAATATAAAAAGCATATTATATTTTAAATTGTACAACAAAAATGGAAAAGGAAAAACAAGAACTGCTGGTTATTCTTTTTCTTTTCTTTTACAATTTAAAATATATAAAATAGTGAAACTGACTAAAATACCCCTATTTAATTGGTTTTAATGGAAAAAGTTAAATGATCGTTAGACAGAGGAACCAAAGCCGTTGGGAGTTGAGAAGCCAAATCCGCATTTCTAAAGTTTAGAGACGATATTCGTTAAAACTTGCAAACATTATAAGGACCAAAATTGAAGTTTACTCTTAGATATATTATCGTTTTATTATATAAAGCATATTTGAAAGCTCATTGGGATATTGAATATTTTAATAATATAATTAATGGAGAAATGTATTTTCTTTTTAGAATTTAACTTTTGCTTTTACATTTTTGGAGGAATTATAGAGAACATGTTGGAGATGATGTAAAGATCCATTTATATGCTTTAATAAGGAACCCAAAACTAAACTCTATCTTACCCTTTTGTCATTGGTTCACAGAGGAGCCCAAACTATCCGGATTTCAAGCACAAAGACACCGGTGAAGCCTTATGGGTCGAAGGGAGGTACAATCCATCTTGGGTTAAGTCTCAGTTATCGATATTAGATTCACGAATGGAATCTTTTCACAATCAAAACGCTAATAAGCATTCAGATTTCATGTTTGGAGACAACTTGACGTCTTATTAACTTATGATTTAGCCCAAGAAACGCCATTATAATTTTGTGTATATGATTCTATTATCTTTAGCTCATGCTCCTAGACCCTGCTTTCGAATAGGATTTACCGGGTCAGTTTGGTTTTTACCTGTGGCTCATGCTTATGTATAATGCCTGTGTTGGTTTGTTATAGAATGTTTTCGGTTTGCTCTTGGCTGCAACGGTTGTATTTGTTCATCAAAGTTGGGTAGACTTTGGGCTAACAGTTTATCATTGGGATGGTCTAGAATTGTTCTTAGCTTAGGTTTAATTATGTCTAGATTTATATCTTAATATCAATGTAGACGAGGGATCAGAGTAAGATGTTTGTTTATCTCTTAATAATTTCATTAAGAGACAACCTCTGAATCGTTAACAGGGAATTTTGTTTGATATAAAAAATCTACCTCATAATGGTTTTAAAACCTTCTGAACGATTTTGTATCTTGGACATTTCTTAACCATTCAGCGTCCTAATTTTGCTCTTAATAATTATCAAACAATTATATTTCATTTTSCATTATACCATAAGAGCCTCTTAATCAATCTCAGTACTTAATTAATTTGTACCAAACCATTCAATAACTGTCAAACAACCTTCTAGGAGTTACGGTAAGAATGGTCAGAACACTTATGAGGCATTAGATGAGTTAATTTTTTAATCTAATTTTTTCTAATTACTTATAGTATTTTCAACTATATATACCTTCAATTACATTCAGTTAACTTTATCTTCAAGTTGGATGTACTTTTTAAGTCATTTTCATGAACTTTTACATATATTTAATCACTTTTACATCCATGAATTTGTTTACTTTCAGTCGTGATGATAAAAAAAAAGTAAATAAAGGTAATTGAATGTAGATGAAAGTTTGTTCTTACATCAAAACTTTTATTCTTGGCGGAACCTAACATAATGCATTACAGTTGGGTAAGAACAAATATATCTTCTTATTTGTATTTGATGTAAAAATACGATTTTGCATATTTATATGACGTATGCAAAATAATCTAAAGACTATTTTTGTTAAGATCTTGTAATTTACAAACAGGTWTCGGAAAACTAGTTATTGTTCAAAAGTTCATTATTATCCAGTGATGATCTTAGATGTCTTATAGAAGTAAACGAAGTCCATGGACTCGAACCTCAGTTGACTAACTTATTCAAATTTGTTGTTATTGTAACGTTGTACTTTCCTTTGAATGTCGTAACCAGACCATTTTTAGTGCTAAATTTGACATCAATTTCTGGTTTGTTTATGCAAAAATGATTTGTAAAAGGCCACCATGGAAGTAGTTTACACTGCTCCGTCCTAAAAATATCACGTAAGAGACAGATACCAGTGCTTAGAAAGAGGCAATTTCCAAAGGGGTTGTACCTCTCACACCATGAAAATAAAAAATTAAATTACAAAAAGTAAACCCTAATATAAATACATACATGTATATATAGGATTGAGTTTTCGTGAGACCAACCTGTTTCATGAGACCTGTGAGACCAATATGTTTTTATGAGACTACCTTTTTACATTTAAACTTCACACTAAAACATTGTGAAGGTAACATTCACATTGTTTTTACTGTGAAGGTTCAAATTTTTTTGACCTTCATAATGTTTTGATATGAAGTTTCAAGTGTAAAAATGTGGTYTCACGGGTCTTATGAAAACAAGCTGGTTTCACATGAACCTAACCCTATATATATAAACCAAATCAAACCGTTTATATATCAAAAAGAGAAAGATCAATAAAATACTTCATTTGTCCTATAATAAATGTCTACATTTCTATTTTAGTTTGTAACAAAATAAATGTCAGTTCTCAGAAGTAAGTGTCTACTTTCTCATTCTACCATTCATTACGAGAGAAAGAAAATCTCTCTCAATTATTATGGATAAGATTATGTTTTAGTTAASTAAAAAGTATATTAATTACATATTTCTACAACTTTTATTATGATCATCTATTTTAAGACGAAGGAAGTAGTAAATTACACAAATCATCCATGTGGTTTATTGAAACCCTTGAAATTGCCATCGAATTTCGAAATTACACCAAAATCTCCAATGTTTACTTACTCCTACATTCCTAGGCCTAAATGACACTAAGTGTGCGTTTGGTTTGCAAGATGTTTCTGAGGGATTTGGATTTGCAGGAGGAATTTGGATTGGATTGGATTTAAAATCCATTCATGTGTTTGGTTTGCAGGATTGGAATTGGATTCCTTTATATAGATAAACACCTTGGAAACTTCATACAAACATCATACATAAGCATCATACAAAAACGTCATACAAACATTATACATAAGCATCATACATAAGCACACCAAGAAACATCTGACTCCATTAAATGATCTACAAACTTCATACATAAGCATCATGAATGAATCCAATACAAACTTCATTCATAAGCATCATACATAAGCACACCAAGAAACATTTGACTCCATTAATTGATCTACAAACTTCATACATATGCATCAAGAATGATCTACAATACAAACTTCATACATAAGCATCAATAATGATCTACAATCAAGCACCAGAAGCACAAACAATATGAACTTTTCAGAAACTGAGTCAAGGATAGTGAATCCAAATATAAGCACACCAAGAAACATCTGACTCCATTAAAACCATGTCTGAAATTAACCTAAAAGGGTACTGTCAATTGCCTTTTGGCTCAAGGGCGATCACAAGTCAAGTCTATTGTCTTTTGGCTCAAGGGTACTGTCAATTGCCTTTTGGCTCAAGGGTACTGTCAAGTCTATGGAGGATAATATGTCAAAATAGTTGCTGTTACAATAGGGTATTCAAACCCAAAACCACATGTCATGAATATTCAAACATATATACAATATATATATATATACACACACACACACACACACATAATGAAGCTGGTAGCGATTTGAAGAACTAAATCAAGAAAAGGGGACAGGAAGATGTAAAAGCATCAATAAAATACTACAAAAGGGGAAAGGGATTTACCTGCTGAGTGATGGGAGAAGGCGGCGAAGAGGAAGGGTTTATCGACGGGTTAGGGCGGCAGCTTCTCGAGGGTACGAGATGGGAGCACCGTGGTGAGGACGACCGATTAGGGCGCAGCTTAGAGAGGGGACGGGAAGGGAGCACCGACTTCACCCACCGATTAGGGCACAACTTCGAAGGGCGGGAGGAAGCGATGGGAGGGAAGGTGGGTGAAGGAAGCGGTGGGAGGGAAGGTGGGTGAAGGAAGCGGGAGGAAGTGATGGCGGATGAGAGGAAAAGCTAGGATTGGGTTTCAAATCCCGCCTCTTTGCAATGGATTTCCAAATCCCACGATTAATGGATTTTAATGAAATCTCAGGATTTCAAATCCTGACAATTTGGCAAACCAAACACAAGATTGGAATGGATTTTAAATCCAAATCCCCCTAATTCCATTCCATTCCTGCAAACCAAACGCACCCGGACTGTTCAGTTCATTTTCTATTAGAGCATTTGGGTCTCGCCCCCGCCCCCGCCCCCGCCCCCATTACTCAAGACCACCGCCCCTTATCTTCATGAAGCATTCTCGTGCGAGTTTTGTGTTCTCTGATCTAAAGCAACATCATATTGATTTAGGATTTTCTTTTACTTCTTGTTTTTTATTTAGGGTTTTGGAATTGGTTCACGTATCTTGTTTATATGATTGTGGTTTGTTCGTTCTTCAATTGATGTCGATCTCCTTTAGTTTCAAGGGTTATACTTACATATTTGTATACGAAGAAATATTCAACAACAATTAAGACTTAAATTTTGTCTTCAGAACATTTTTCGGGTCTGAATATTTTTTATTTGAATGTTTTTGAGTCCGAGTTTCAAGATGTTTCTATAGGTTTGAGTGTTCTCGAGAAGGATGAAAAAGCAAAATGACCAATATGCCCTCATCTAACACCCCCGTTATCTAAGGTCATGAACATTGAATGTGCATGTACGTATAAGCAAATCTACAAATGAAAACAACCGTTATTCTAATGTAATTTTGAAACTCAAGTGACGATTTTCAAAACTTTAATACGAACAATTTATGTAATTAATTCTAATAAAAATGAAAAATATTACCATAACAAAATCATAAAAATCAAATATGTGTATTGATATTTTCACTAACTTTCTTCCTAGAAATTCAAAAACCGTTATGATATGGTTTCTCAAATCTTTCTTGAAAAAACCAAAAACCCTCTTTTTCATATTATATATATATATATATATATATGATATTGTAAGTATAATTAGGGTTTATAGAGAATCATCCAACCCTCTAGCTTCAGAAGCTTTCATAATTCTGAGTCTTTTACACGAAGTGATGAACATCTCCCATGGTACATCACCAACAAGCATCCAATCTCCATCTTTATCTTCGTAAGTTGGTGCATGCTGTGATCCATTGTACCCTTCTCTCTCAGAGTACAACCCTATAATGCACTTAAACATCTTCTGCAAACCCTCCATTAGTTCTTCATAGCTTCTGTACATTTTGAGGTCTACTTTCCTCAAATATGGAGCTCCATCCATGCTCACTTTCACATACATCCCTGATCCCATCTCCGACGACTCCTTCTTCCCTTGCACTATGTTTCTCCGGTAAGATCTCACCGGCGGCCACCCAACAACTTGCTCCCTGAAAACCATTCATTTCATGTAATTAGTTTTAATATTCTGCATGTGGGTTACTACATACTAAATGGACGACTTCAAAACCGTCATAAAAGTTGGTGGATAAATCAAATCAGTTACAGATTACCCACGTATTCTTCAGGTGATCTGTTGGTATTTATTTAGATAATTTTTGTGGATAAAAGTCATTTGTTTCGTAGAGGGTATCACCAAAATATAGATTTAAACGACAATTTGCATGGATTTTGTAGCTTACTTGGTGGGTGATGCAGATCTTGATTCATTTTCATCTGTGCAGGTGCTGGATTCCATCTCCGATGAACTTCTTTTGTTACCGGAAAGACTTGTCTTTATCTCCGGCTGATCATCGGTTCCCGGCAACCCTAATCGGAGCTCGGTTGCTTTATAATTGAGATCGATATCTTCAAAAAGATTCAAAGAACTTCTCTTTCGATCCATATTATTATATATCTCCAAGAAAACAAGTGTGAATTGAAGGGTGGTGATTGGTAGAGGATCTCCGGCGGAGTTCTTGATTTTCCGGCGGTGGTGAATGGTTGAGAGAGAAGTGGTTTGTGGGTTGTAATTTAGTGATGATGGAGGAGGAGTTTTATATACAAAGATTAGGGTTGGGGACATGAATCGAGTGACTTATTCTCTTTGTGCATGGATTTCATGACTCCATAAATTTTTGCCCACTCGCACACTCACCGCACGTGATTTAAGACAAAAGAAAACCAAAAAAAAATCCAAAAAAAATAACTTTTTAGGTAATATTAACTGATAGTTGATAAGTTACTTGGTAGCAGAAAAATCAATTGAAAAACCAGTCACATTGTAAAATAATTACCTAATAAATTAGTTAAAAAATGTAAAATGATTAAAAATCATTTACATAAACACTCTTTGAAATTACATATTAGAGCATCTTTGTTGACAACTTAATAAGTTTAATGRAACTTACAACTTATTCAATCAATTATATATAATTGTTTGATAGTGATTTAATCATATAGAAAAGTGTCTTAAATGTTACTTGATTGGTTTCCATTAAGTTATGTATAAATAAAATTGTATGTATGTATGAATTAATCTGTCTGTATATATAGGAAAAAAATTTGTTTAATAGAGTTTTTCATCAATAGAAAGAGTATGTATTTTAATTGGGAGGGCCAAGCTTCAAGAAAAAAAACTTGGATTTCTGCAATAAAAACTTCTTCTTGTAAGTTTACTGAGCAAATCACTTTCTATATTATTAAGCCACTGCGAAACAGTAATGTATTATATAAAAATCTACAAGAAAAAAAAAAGATAATAGATGATTTTAAAAGACACGCGCGTGAAGAGCGTGTGAGAAAGTTTGCATAAAAGGAGACATCTTGTTAGATAAGACAGGCAGAGATGTTGGTGAAAAGACGGGCAGGTTCGGTCAGCTGAGAAGAAAGAAGGGAACATAGGGTAGACAAACCCAACCATCCACCATCTGTTAACGGCTAAGATCTCTTCACCATATCAAATCTGGATCGTTGGATCACGCACCCTAAAAGTAGGAAGACTACCATGTGATCGTGGGCCCCAGATCTTGTCGGAGATTGCGACACTCCCCATGTGTGAACTTTGATTAGTAGGTCCACTCCAAAAATCCCTTCTAAAATTTACTTTTGCTATTTTAATTTTCTTTAAAACCAGTTATGTACCCGTACAATGTGRTGGGATGTAAAATTCAAATACATGTAAGGAAAATTGCATATTACGATTACGTTTTTACCAAGTGATACAATTTAGTTTACCTTATGCAGAGCGTAAAAACAAGTGTAAAACAAATTTGTGATATGGGTTTGAACCACAAGGGTGGTGTCTGATTGATTTAAGTTTCGGCTCCAAAGATCAAAAGTGTTTGGAGTTCCCAGGTTCAAATCCAAGAAAGAATAAAAATCCCCTTGTGTCCACAGAGGTTCAAATGCAGTGACTCCGGGATACCTGCAAAGCAGGTGGTCGCTCTGGAATTAATCGACTTCCATAGCGGGTTGAATATTCAGGTTAATAAAAACACATATTTCGTTAAATTGAATCCATACCATTTCATGTATCATTCTATTATATGACCAAAAACTTATAAAAGAGTAGAAATTTGATTCTACTGCAATGTCATTACATGAACATCGAATTGTTACAAGAATAGCTATATCAAAATGAAATGACGTTTCTATCCTTTTTAGGTAGTTGTGGGTATCTGTGCCATCTATTTGCATCGATTAATCCTATCATGAAGTCATCGCGGGTGATCAACAACGACCACAAGATTGGTTTGAACTCTAAAATCCACCATTATGCATGAGAACTAACGACATTTCTAACATGATGAAGAACCATAGCTTAAAAGGAGACACAAAGAAAACCGTTAGAGAATAATTAACTGTTATTGAAAATCACTTGGATTATTTTGAACACCCGATAGAGGTGCTATGAAGTTGAAGCCCAATCATTCAGTATTTGAATCCAATGCTAAGATCAATCCGTTGTACAACTCATTTCAACGTCGACATAGAAATTGAGGTGTTTTTGCATTCAAAGCTGAGTACATAACCCTATTAGGATTCAACTCTACATGCTTAACCTAAACCTAACCTATCAATGAAATGTAAACCAGCCAATGAACTCGTCTTACGTCAATTCATTTAACCAACCTTGACAATGATATGAAAATATGATTGTTTCCCACATTGTGGGTTGTGTCTAACCGTCAAAAAATGACTGTTTTCCCATAAAGATTAGCCGCATGAAAGGCACACGACTTTCTTAAACCAAATAGACAGAAATTTGAATATGAAACTGATATTGTTGATGCCAAGGACTAATATTGTTAAAACCGATATTGTTGGATATAAACTTCTACTTGACACATATGCATCTGCATCTGCATCATATAGAATTTAGCTGGTTTTGTCTATATTCCTAGTTCATAAGTAATCATTTTTTGAGAGTTCTCCAAATTTGAAGAATTTCATCTTCTCTTCTGCTTCTTCTATTTTGAAGAAGGTTTTGGGTAATCTGTTGAAGCAAAAATACCCAGATCTCCATTTTGTAGAATCTATTATAAAATTTAATGTAAATAAATAATATTACATCAAATTTAGCGTGTTATGAAATTTGATATTTGATGTAAGATTGAGATATTGAAATTAAAGATGGGTTTAGATGTGTATATTTAAATGGCGCATGCATGCCCACGGTGGCAATTGGCAAACACGTGGACGGCATCTCGTATTTAAGAAATTGGGCCCGTGGTCCTTTTTATGTTTCCTGTGGTCCAGTCCAATACCATTCCTTTTCTATATGTACACATTTTGATGCATGCAGTACAACAACAACCTATACCCTACAAAATTATACATACATACTTATACATACATACATACATACATATACACACACATATTATATATATATATATATATATAGAGAGAGAGAGAGAGAGAGAGAGAGGGGGGGGGGAGTTGAGATTCCTGTGAGAAGAGAGGTTATGTTGAGAAGAGTTAGAAGAGATCTTCGTCCTTTGATCAATTCTAATTGAATGTCAGTACTAATGAGGTGCACTGAGATTGTGGTTTTGACTGGTCAAGATTTACGGATTTGACTGCTCAAACGAAAAGAGTGGGGTAGTTTCGTAACTTTTACAAATATGCGGCAAACAAGTGTATATGTGAATGAGTTAATTAGTTCATATGTAAATCACACGGGTTAATATGTGAATCGGTTAATTAGTTCATATGTAAACCAGTTAAATAGTTCACATGTGAATCACACTGGTTCACATAATCACTTTTTTTGCCGCTTATTTGTAAAAGTGTCGAAAGTACCCCTTTATCTTTTGCATACCATGTGAAGAATTATTCAATACTTCACAGTCAAAGTCGCAAATCTTGACAGATGAAGGGTTAGGATTACTTTTTTATTTCTCAAATAAACCTATAGCTTTCGTGAGACCCGTAAGACCAATTTATGTTAATTAATCAATTTTATAAGGTAATGATTTAATGGTTTAAAATTGTACGGTGACAATTTTGTGATTATTGAGAARTCTCGTGGCAATTTTGTGATTATAAATGTTGAGATTGTAGATCTAATCCAAGGGTTGAGAATTGACCTTACGGGTCTCACGAAAAACTTTTGGTCTCACATGATCCCAAGTCTATATATATATAGAGAGAGAGGTTGGTTATTATACAACCCTTACATTTGTACAACCAATACAACACAATCTCAACCGTCCATTTCATTTGATTAATATGTGATTTCATATAAGTTTTAATTGTTTCCTAATATAAAGTATTGATCATAATTAATGAACCATATTCATCTTCCATAAATATTCAAATAATAATAAATGAACTCTCATTGTTTCCATAAATATCTCAATTTATTGGGTTGCATTAGTTGTACAAATGTAACGGGTTGTATTTGAAACAAATTATATATATATATATATATATATATATATATATATATATATATATATATATATATGCATCACCTATTGCCATCCTTAAATATAAAAAGAGAAAATAAAACCTAAAAAAATATAATAAACAAATACTAGACATGTATGTAAAAGCAATTATTATTTTTATCGACAATAAAATTGACATAGTCTTCATACCTAATTAATTATTACAATTTTTTTTAGTCAAACAAATGACAATTTTACTTTTAAAGAATGTATTTTTCTTATCAACTTGTAAGTATTTGTGCATTAGTTAAGGATAGATATAGAAATTTAGTTAGATATTTTTAAAAATAGATACTTATTTTGAAAATTTAGTTAAGGAAATGGGAAGTCTGTTGCTCGTATTAAACTTTTGAAAATTGATTTCAAGACTTGAGGATTTAGATATATTTTTGGATGATTGTAATAACTAATGACTTTGTTGGGTATATTTTTAGTATTATTTATCATATTTCATTTGCCAATTTTATGAATTTTAGTACCCGCCACCCCAACTCAACCTGTCCTAACCCGCAAGGGTTAGGTTGGGTTGAGTTATACTTTTGAATGAGTTGGGTTGGGTTGAGATTTCCCAAACCGTCATAATTGGGTTGGGTTGTAAAAATATCATAAACCGCCCAACCAACCCGTGTTCACCCCTAGATGTGAAATCTTACAATCCAGCCTCTTGGAACCCAGTATCCTTGTTGGCACATCAGTTCGGTTTCTGGCTTCGATACCAATATCTGACATCCAATGCTAACCATACCAGTTTTTGTCCATACCTGAACTCATGGTCCTAAATTCTTCTTATCGAGAAAGTATCAAATCCCTTATAAGATAAAATCTGTTCGTCCATACCTGAACTCATGGTCCTAAATTCTTCTTATCGAGAAAGTATCAAATCCCTTATAAGAGAAAATATGTTCACCTCTCCAACCGATACAAGTCTTACGGTTAAAAACAATGTTTATGTTTACAAAAAGATTACAAACCTTTTTTTGCTAACAAAAGATATTCTTTAAGGATTTGAATCATAACTAAATTAATGATTTATTTTATTTCTATATAACTGTAACATATTATTAATAAGACTTGAGATCATGTGAGACAAACTTTTTTACATTTGAAATTTTACAACAAAACGCTGTGAAGGTAACCTTCACAATGTTTTTGCTGTGAATGTTCGGTTTTTTACCTTCACAGTGTTTTGCTGTGAAGTTTCAAGTGTAAAAAAATGGTCTCACCAGTCTCACGAAAACATGTTAGTCTCACTTGAACCTAACACTTATTACTAAATAATAATTAAAATATAAAAATAAATCAAATCAAATCAAATAATAAAGATCACCCAACAAATCAATTATGAAACAAGGGTGTTCCTGGCTTCTTTTTTTTGTCTCTTTTTTTTATTTATTTTAAAACAATGAATTATGTTGTCTCCATATATTTATAGGTAAAGAAACATTAATCATTATGATTCATAGCTTAAAAGATGTGTTTGTTAACATATAAACAAGAAAAAACAAGAATTAGAATATGTTTTTGATGATCAACAATAATTATTAATTAAAAATTAAATATTTAAAAAATAGAAAAACTGAATCACAAGARTGGTGCCTGATTGGTTTGAGCTTGGCTCCAAAGGTCAAAAGTACCTACGGGTCCCAGGTTCAAATCTAAGAAGGAACAAAAATCTCCTTGTGGCCACGGAGGTTCAAATGCGATGACTCCGGGCTATTTACAAAGCAGGTGGTCGCCCTAGGATTAGTCGGTTCGCATAGCGGGTTGGATATTCAGGTTAATCAATATATATATATATATATATATATATAATACAACTGATATATCTATTTTTTATTTTCTTCAATATTTGAGCTCGAGATCGATTAACTCGTTTGTATACTCTAGCTCGATGGTTTTTATATCTTGATTATATAATTTATTAACATATGTATGTGTTTGGCTCGAAAAAATGGGTGCTTGAACGGCTTAGTCCGGCTCGACTCAACTTGTAAGGTTTAATCGAACATTCAAACAAGCAGAGTCGAATGTTATGGATTTGATTCGTTAAGTTAATCGAGTTTTATTATGTATTCGAGATCAACTTGAGCTCAAGAATTATTAAGCTCGAGCTCGAGAATTATTAAGCTCAAGCTCGAATCTCAGTAGCTCGATAAAACTTATTGAACCAATCCACTAGGTTTAAAGACCTCCCTTCTTTTTGAGATGCTCTAAGGGGCCGTTTACCTAAACACTTACCCGGTAAGTACTTACCGGTAAAATCCAACAATATCGCTTACTTACAGGGTAAGATTTTATTCACTAAAACGCATCGTATAAAACATTATATCCCGGTAAGCGCTAATCATGGTAAGAGTCCTCGTCCTCACTTACCGGGTAAAACTCTCGATTTTTGCCTTCGCTCTTACCGGTAAGATTTTGTTCTTATCATATTCATCCGGTAAAATAAAGTGACTTGGTAAGTGATTACTCGAATAAGTGTTTGATAAACGGCACCTAAGGGGCCGTTTACCAAACACTTACTCGGGTAAGTGAACACCAAATCATTTTACCTTACCGGATGAATATGGTAAGGATTAAATATCTTATCCGGTAAGAGCAACACAATGACGAAGAGTCTTACCCGGTAAGTGAAGGCGACAACTCTTACCACGGTAAGCACTTACCGGATAAATTGTTGTATACGATACCATTTTGGTGGATTAAAATCTTATCCGGTAAGTAAATGATAATGTTAAATTTATCGGTAAATATTTACCGGATAAGTATTTGATAAACGGTCCCTAAGTATATAAGAATTTAGGTTGAGTCAAATGGTCAAAGTAAATTATTGATTGGTTTGTACATTAATGAAAAAGTCACCATCATATTAATTAGTACAGCCAACACTCAAAAAGTTATATCTTGGCTCATTAATGCCTCCTTTACCTACATTCACATTGGATCATACCCTGGCCCCACGCCACAACTTGATATGGCCAAAAATCAGTTCTGAACTGAAGTCAAATCGATTTTTTTAAAATCGAATCGACCGATCTTGGTTCTGGTTGCAACCAAAAATCCTACGATTGAACCGAAGCCCGGTAACCAGTCTCGAGTCCAGACCATCGAGCTGGTTTCAAATCCGATTCAAGACCTTACTTGGTTTTTCTTTGTTTAAATAAAAATATTTGTACACAAAGATGTTTATTAATGTTTTTGTAATCTAACATTGAAATACAATTTATATAATGCATTTACTTGAATTTTTTTAAACATTTTATAAAAAAAATCTTTAAAAAATCTTTAAAAAACTTAAATTACAGTTAATAAAAACTTAAGAAACAAAAAATTGGTCCAACACATAACCGATCCTAGGTCAAGTTAGGGTGTAAGTGAGTCGAGCTTCTTGATGAGCTACTCGAGCTCGTTTATCTCGAGCCCGAGTTTAATAATTCTCGAGCTCGAGTCGATCATGAACACAAAATATAACTCATTTAACTTAACGAGTCGAGCTTCATAACACTAATGTTCGACTCGGCTCGTTTGAAAACTCGATTAAACTTTTCAAGTCCAGTCGAGCCATTCGAGCAAACATTTTTTCGAGCCAAACATACTCATATGTTCACTAAATCATATCATACAAAAACAAAACTTATCAACCTCAAGCCTATAAACGAGTTAATCGATCGTATGTTCAAGCCCATAAACGAGCATCGAGCTCGAGAACTACATTGAAAAAGTTATTTGAGCTAAAGTTAAGCTCAAACCTTTTCGAGCCCAACTAAAATAACCTACTACTCTACTCGACCAGACTCTCATTTATCGGTTTATAATTATAACCGGTCTCAAACTCTCAATTAGTCTTTGGATAGGGCCCAATTTGAGCATGTCTACCCTACCCACAACTATAAATTTTATTTTGCAACTTTTTGAGCATTTAATATAATGAGACGATTACCTATATTTTAAGGAAACCCACCCACCGTCTCATATCCAATTTTAGCATACCACGTGTACCTCATTATCAGGTCTAAATTTCAGGAACATTTAATACCTTCATCACGACTTTAGGGCAAATTGCCTTCAATTCATACACAACAATTATCAAACCAAACTACCCCAACTCTTACTGTTATAAATCTGACCTGAATTATATCTGACAAAAATAAAATGTAAGCATATATTATCATTGACGTAAAAGATTGTTCATATAGAATGCGTTTGATATACAGACTGGACTAGAGTACAAACATGACTCAGCAGACGATTGTGAGATATGCGGGTGAAGAATTATGAAACATTTTATGGTTTTAATTTGAAATGAGTAAATTTACTTCATCCCGTCACATAATGAATGTCTAGAAGGAAAAGACAGTTTTAGAAAATGTGAGTGAGGTTCAGTAAAAAACACATATATAAAACTGAAGACCCAAAATAACCGTTCATTTGTACTATATGCACATATTACATATTTTAATTAACAAGATGACAAATTTACCCTTAATAAAAGAAATAACAAAGTTTTCTCATCTCATAATTAAAAGAGTATAATTAGAAAATAGTCACTTGCTTTTAAAAGTAACATTTATTTTGAAACAAACTAAAAAAGAAACTTAAACATTTATTCAAGGACAGATGAACTCCCATCACTCAGTTTTGTCTGGTCTAAAGTCTAATGTCACACCAAGTTTTACTTCTATTGAGTCCCACATAACAGACACACTCATAAAGACCCAGGTTGCACAAAATACTATTTTCTAGCAACCCCAAAAGTATACCAAAAAGACAAGAAACAAAAGGGTGTCAACAGATCATAATTATGGCCTACCACAAATAATCCCCCAGTCCCAGAAATTTGGGAGAACAAAAAAAAAACATTTTATTTTGCATTACCTGAGAAGAAACAGACAATACTTCAACTCACCTTTGATTTCCTTCCTCCTGTTGTTGTCTCTTGATTTCATCTAGAATTTGCAATTGTTCTTTTTATTCGTTTTCACGAAACTTTAATCGTGAGTTTGACCTTCAAAGACTAACCGATTTGATTATCAAATCCGCGTGTTTCTTTGACTTCAAGACAAGTTCCGCATTCGGCCTGTCATTGTATTTGATCTGTTTTTATTTTACAAGCCAAAGGTCAGCAAGTTAAGAAAACGGAAATCGGAGTAGAGGATAAGTCAAGATTAGTAGCGTACCCGTTGTTTGGCGATCTCTAGGGTATTACCTAATAATAAGATTTAAAAAGGATGCATATTTATTATAATTGTAACAATCTTTTCATATCGACAATAAAAATATGTTGTCCTCAAATCCCTTGTCCCCTGTCTGTCCCACCAATCATGTGAAGTCAGTCACGTCATTATTTTATTTAATATAAATTTATTTGATTCTTGTTTATATTCTTTTTCCTCAATAAATAGATGATGTGGCTTCATATGTTTTGTAAGGGTGTCCGGGCCAAAGCCCGACTAATCCCCGGCAAATTTGGAGGCTAAACATGGCCCCACTTAAATGTCGCCAACACTCCCCTCCCAGGGTTCGAACTTGGGTTCATGACTATGCCATGCCCAAGCCTTTACCACTAGGCTGGAAGGTCTTTGACGCTTCATATGTTTGATGGACATGAACAGACAAGGGATTTGGGGACAACTGGTTTTTATTCATACAAGGGATTATGTTTCCTTGTCCCCTCTCTCCACCAATCACGTGAAGTCACGTCATTATTTTATTTAATATGAATTTTTTTATTCTTGTTTATATTTTCTTTACTCAATAAATGGATGATGTGGCTACATATGATTGGTGGAAGAGGAAGGGACGGGGGATTTGGGACAACAAATTTTTATTCATGCGGATGGATCATGAATGGAAGACAATTACCGGTTGATATATGTCTCTTCAGAAYTCGTTCCATTGCTACATCAATGTCAAGATCAATGAACCTTCCAGAAATTTGAAACTAGATTAGTAATGTTCCAACATTTTAAACCGGCTAAATTATGAAGAAGGGTAGTAAAGTCAACATTTTTAAGAATTATATGCATTATTTGAATCCACGTCGAGTTTGACTAGTTTCTAAGAGAATATTGCATCATGGCAAAGCGCTATATTTGGTAGCAGAAAAGGGGGTAAATAAATTTCAGTCCCTAAACAAATCTAATAATTTCTCGATCATAAATACTCCCTCCGTTCCAAAATAAATATCCACAATAAAAAAGGTACGCAGTTACAGAAGTGTATAACTATTACACTTTTTAATTAATAAAATGACATTTTACCTTAATAATAGAGGGAGTAGTGAATTTCTCCATCTCATAATAAGGGTAGACTTGGAAAGTATGAGCTTACTCTTGAAAGTGGACATTTATTTTGGGACAAACTAAAATAGAAACGTAGACACTTATTTTGGGACGGGGGAAGTAACAACTTTTAGTTCCAAAGAACATACCGTAAGTACTAAAGATCTTAGAATTACCATTTCTCGTCTAACATTGATGCTATTTCTTTCCAAGTATCGTCTTCTAGGAGTAAATAATTGCCTTCAACTATCACAACTTTGTGCCTGCAAATAGCATACTTCATTTAGAACTATGACTAAGGGCCTGTTTGATAGCAGCTTAATGAGCTTAACAGGATTTACAGCTTATTCGGTCAGCTCTACATAACTGTTTGGTAGTGGCTTAATGATATAGAAAGTGGCTTAGCTTTATGCAGAAAGCCAAGTTTTTTCCGAACCTGCCCCTTCCAATTAAAAAACATGCTCCTTCCATCCGTGAAAAAAATCTCCCAAACAAAAACCTTCTCAATCTATACATATAGATTAATCTACACAAACAGCTTTATCCATACATGACTTAATGAAAAACTAACCAAACAACCCCTAGATGTAGAGACCGTTTTGCAAAGTTTCACAAAAAGCATGCAATAAAGTTTACATAGCAAGTTCTCTAAAATAGCATGAATGAAAGGAACGTAAAGAGAAACTCTTTAGGCACATAAATGCTGCAGGCACTCTCCCGGTTTTCAGAATTTTACACCAGCTTTTCGTCATTTATTAACCACAATCCATACAAATGAATGACTCCATCAGTTCCAAACTAAATGTCCACAAGAAAAGAAGGGTACACAGTTTCAAAAATGTATAATTTACACTTTTTTAATTCACTAAATGACAATTGTACCCTTGATAATGAAGGGAGTAATAAATTTCTCTATCTTCATAACGAAGGGTAAAAATGGAAAGTAGGAACTTTCTTTTTGAAAGTGGGCATTTATCTTGGAATAAACTAAAACAGAAATATGGACACTTATTTAGGATAGAGGGAGTATATCTGATTCTTGGATGCCAATTGGAGCTGCAACCAGTAGCAGCACCGATTTACAACTCAGTAATTCACAACACAGTAGATTTGACGATTGTGATTCTTTCTGTGTCATCTATTTGATTTTTAGTACCTATTTACCCCCCCCCCCCAAAAAAAAAAAAACAAATATGGCCTCTATCCCAAGTAGTTTCGTGCGTGAAGGCTGAAGTAGAAACCCATAAGAAGTAGAAAATAGAAAGAGAAGAAATGATTGAGCGCAAGGTAGATGACTAGCATCCTTTCATGCTCCCTTATTTAAAGCCAATTCCTCGATCCTTTAAAGCCCATGACTACTTCACCCCCTGTTTCTCTTTAATACTCTCCGGCCTCCCTTCTCACCGGTGCATCCCGAAATCTAAGCAGGAGATGCTTAAACCATCTGAAGCGGTGTTGTTGCTAACTATTATTCTCTCTGATCCAAAACAATGTCCACAGTGAAAAAGACATTTAGTTTTATAAATGTACAATTATTACACTTTTTTAGTTAACTAAATGACAAATTTACGCTTAATAATAGGAATAATGAATTTCTCTCTCTCTCATCAGTAAGGTAGAATTGGAAATCAGAGACTTATTCTTTGAAGTGGATACTTACTTTGGGACAAACTATAATGTAAATGTGGACACCTATTTTGGGAAGGAGGATGTACTAGTCATTACTCTTTCGTAGCCGAATATTAATTCAACCCCATATCTAAATTCGGGATCTTGGCTTGGTCTACATCCAACATTACCCTTCTCTATGGTTTCGCTTCTACTTTTCTGTTCTCTTCCTTGTTAATACGTTCTTAAGAATTTGTTGGTAAAAAGAGCATATTTTACAGAGACTACACATGCAGGCATCACAATTACTCCATTCAGTCATGTAACATTATCAGAATCTTCTCTTATGGGCCCAAGTCTAAATAAACAACAGCCATTAACTTAGCCAGCCTGATCTTGGTAATTTTAAGCTATGATATAACAATTTAGTTAGATTCGCTCTCCCTTACATGTCTGTATATTATGTCGATATTAATGAGGGATTTAGTAGAGAGGACATGCCCAAAAGACAGAAATTAGATGAAGTATAATCTCACAGATATATAATACATACTGAACATTTACGAAGATATCGTCTTCAACTGGGTCTCCAACACCATGGTCAAAAGATGGAGCATAAACCGACCCCTGAATTACGATTAATCATTAGATCTGATGTTAATGAAATAAATAATAAATATATAAGATTATAAGTACAGATTAGGTGATCGGAATCAGTCAAGTTGATATAGGAAAGGAAATATTACCTGATTCCTCAGGGTCTTCAGACATTTTAAGAGTAAATCAGGATTAAATGTCCACGGAGCTGATTTGACCACATAACAGTTGGTTTTTATCAAGTGATTGCAACATTTAATAATGACTGATATGATACGAGTGAAGAAACTCACCTCCCCTTCTTGCGTGGGCTTCCTTCGGATCCTAAAAGGAATAACAATAAAAGAATCAAAATTGACCAAGTGCTCATTAAAAAATGTACTAATTAGCGTAGGTGTATATTGTATCAGTCATGTGCCTCGGCTAATAGTTCCTACTTAAGTACTTACACAATTATACTCCCCTAAACCAATGATTTCTTAGGGGCCGTTTACCCAAACGCTTACCGGGTAAGTGATAACCGGTAAAAGTCAACACTCTCACTTACCTTATTGGGTAAGATTCTAATCCATTAAAACGACATTGTATTCAACAATTTATCCTGTAAGCGCTAACGGGGAAAGAGTCATCACCCTCACTTACCGCGTAAGACTCTAGGCCCTTGTCATCGCTCTTACCAGTTAAGATTCTCGGTCCTTGCCATGTTCATCCGGTAAGGTAAAGGGACTCCATAAGCGCTTCCTCGGTAAGCATTTAGTGAACGGCCCCTTAGTTACATCATTCATTTTGACATCTGTTCATGAATATGATTGATTTAGAAAAAAAATTACTTTATATGGGCCTGATTTACTAGTTTTGTAGCTGAATCATGCATGTTAAGGTTTCTTAACAAGTGAAAGAGAGATTTATTCAGACTCTCGCAGTGAGAAGTGGGAGAGATTGAAAGGAAAAGAACCTCCATTGAATCCAGCTGGTGGCGATAAAGATGGAAACCATCCATGGGAAGGACTACAGCAATTTCCGGAGGTTCAACCTGAGAATCGAAGGAACATGATTTTTGAGGCCATATCTTGTTTACACGCTTAGCGATCTCTGAAGCAACAGTGGTCTTTCCAGCACCAGGAGGGCCAGCTAAACCCACAATATGCCTGCATGAAAAAGCAGAAATTTTGGAGATCAGATAACTCATTTGCTGCTGCATGTCGAATTTAACCATTTGGATTTTGTTTTGCATTAATGCCAACCATCAAAAAGGGCAGTATGTAATACTATTAGTGAATGTTTCCATAATGTATTGTGATCATGATGAGCTGAAAAGTGATATGTCAACACTCGGAGGAAAATGAGTGTTAAGGAAAAAGCCAGAGCAATCTTCCAGCCTCCACCATCCCCACTTCCCAACATCAAAAAGATGTCTCAAAAATCCTACAAGTCTTTATGGAAGACTAATCGACTCATCAGGTTTATCCAACAAATCAAAGATCTAAATTCTAATGAACTAAATTCATATTAGGTGTGTACACTTTATTCATTGGACGCGTACAATGGTCTTACACAATTGGTGATCAAATGGGTAATTTCCAATTGAAATCGAATGTTTACAGAAGGTACCAACAATTGAGAAGATGGAGGTGTCCTGACTCGCATCAAAATGAAAATACCGAACCCCCTCCACCTATTCCCCTTTTTCAGTTTATACCCCTCTCCACTAGACAACATCATATTATTAATTCCCTTTTTACCCTTTTGAACTTACTAATATTACTTTATAGCTACTATTACTGAGACTATATTGCCCCCTCACCACCAAACTCTACAATTTGTTTCTCCTGGCATATGTAAACTTGACAGTAGGTTTATCATCCACAAATCCAGATGAGAAACTATAACRCCCCAAATTCAGGACAAGAGAAGAGTGAGGTCCAAAAGTGCTATTGTATGATGAATAAAGTTTAGGGTTGAAGACTTGATGTAGGAGGAATCAAAGTACATGGACTAAAGTGGAAAGGCTTATATACGTTCAAAATGAATGTGTCCAAGGAGGTTATGCAAGGTTATGCAATTTGCGGGCAGCAACAGTTTGGGGGAGTTGAGGAGCCAATTGAAGATGCAATATGCTGTCATTTTCACTCCTATATCGTAACCCGAAGTCAGAGAAGGAACAAGAAGAGGAATACAAGGTTTTCAAGTGGAAAGGAAGCAAAAAGGGGTCAGTATGTGCAGGGAACTCTTCAACAAGATTAAGTTAATAATTTTGCTTCAAGTTTATGTTTTGATGCTTCTCCAGTAGCATTGCACGTAGTAGTAACGATTGCCATCGAAATGGAATCAGTACGAGGCCTCAAGGCCATAAAAACGAAGAATAAATGGAGGATTTAGTGTACTTGACATGGTAAGTGATAATGGGCACAAATTAAAGCATGATGTGTAATGTTGTTGATGCATAGACATGCTAAGTGATGGGAATGCATGTTAGTAGCAATTTGGTGCAAGAAAAACGAATGAAAATGATATAAATTTGGTTAAAGATGGGGTTGTGTGCACATTGGTTTGTTGACAGGCCCTCTGTGATGAAAGTGATGGGGTCACATGGTGAAAGAGACGAGCAAGGTCAGAGCTCACCTATAAGGCCTGCACAGATGCAGTCAAGACTGAAAGTGAGCTTAATCTCACACATAAAGTCGCATTAACTAGTCCAGGCCAGCTTAGCAAAATAAGCTTGCCTGAGCTCACAGGCCAGCTTAGCAAAATGAGATTGCCTGAGCTCACACAGATGTATGCGAGTTTGGACACAAGCTCAAGATCGCGCCCATGGTTACATTGACTAAAGTTTGACCTAGACCTGAGTTGTTCAGAATGCTATGCTTAGTCAAGTAGTATAAGTGTTACGTGAATAGTACAAGCACTTAGATGCATGTGTATGATATATATACATGTTATAAGTGGAAAAGAGTTACACTTACACAAACTTTGGGTGGTTTCATGAGACTTTCCGAAACATGCATATGTTATATGTATGTTCTCAACTATGCTTATGAAAACTGAATGAGCATGCTATGTGTTCATATTCAAGCTTAAGCATGCTATGTGTTCACATTCAAGCTTAAGAATGCTAATGTAAAACCTATAAAGAATATTAAAAAAATTTGTAGAACAATAATTAATAGAAGCGAGTATTCCTCCACTGGATGATTGCAAGTCCCGGAACATTACCAGCAACATGTGATAGCCAATGACCATGATTAACTTATGGCATATCTTAACTATCTGAATATGTATATAAATGTAATTATGAATGTTCCACGCACCCTAAAATAGATTAATTGTTTTATATCATAAGACCTGAACTTACGTCATACTGGTATTTGTTCCTGAAGCAGCAGTTGGCACCACACGTTCAGCTAAAGTATCATATACTTCATCCATGGACCTAGAAAATGGGGAGTAATCTAAAACCTGAGTTTGAGAAATATTAAAATACATATTAACCATGGCAATCATATCAAAGACACCATTGGGACCCCTTACATCAAGCATGGAGTCTTGTATGAAGGTGTTTACATAATCTAAATAAGCATAAGACAACTGCCTCTGCTTCAACATAAATACATAATCTGTAGATATTGAAGCAAGTGCATATACGCCTTCTTCCCCCTGGATGCAGGCACCTAATGGAATAAAAATTTACATCTACACCAATTTCAAAGAAGTTTTCTGTCTAGAAGTAAGAAAAGGAATTGGCATGAAGGTGGTAGATAGTAATTCGAAAAATAGAAAAAACATTAGTGATCATATAGATAAACAATAAGTACTTTTAAAAATGACACACCAAGCCTCTACTATAGGAATTTCTTTCTTCTGGCTGCATAACACCTGAAAATAGATATTAATCTATGAGACCCATGTAACAGACAGACACAAAAATCAGAGAAGGAAATAAAACCAGAAGGAAGAATAAAAGAAATAACATTGAACCTGAACATGGTATTTCTTACGCCTTATAAATACACTTTGATTTAGTGAAGGCTGAAATCTGCTTTTACCAGCAAACATGGACACAGAACCTGGATAGCTTTGAGAGACACCAACTTTCTTGAGCAGCACCATATCTATAGCTTTAGTATTACTCAATATTAGCTGGTGTCATGTGTGGATATACTATGTGGTATGCATGTGCAAGTGCAAGCTTGCTAGTCAAACAGTGAGATGGCTACATGTAAAGATACACACTCACACAAGCAGTTCAAGAATGCAACATGACATGATGACATTAAGAAAATGAGCCTAATCATATGCAGGAGCAATGCTATCTTCACTTACAAAGGGAAAAGGATCTATCGATGTGAGATCTAGTCATGAAACAAATTTTTCCACACGCTGCATAACTCGCTTATATGATTCGCACATGAAAATAAGAGGAGCGACGGGGTTTGCATTAAAACTATGCCCTTAATGTGCTTCCCCCACATGTAACTCACCCGTTAGTTTGTTCAAAATCAACCCTATCGATAACCAAAATTGATCTTTTATATATTTTCTTTGTAGTTGATTGATTAAAATAAAAAAAGGTGATGTAGTCATCTCCAATGTAGACATTGGAAGGCACCATAAAATGATGTACAAAGAGAACATTCATTTGGAGACGTAAAGGTCAGGCAGTGCATGAGAGGACTATGTCAAAGGAGTTACCTTAAATAGGAGTTTGTGAAGGAAGTCATTTTCAGCTCACAACTAGTTCTAAGAACAGGCTAGTTGCTGTAATTATTTTTGGAAAAGAAAGCCTCAACTTATCACACCTAAACTGAATACCAAGCAATGCATAGCCATGAAACAACAATATATAGCCTTCAGAAATTGCACATGTTATACTCTCTCAATTTCAATTACAAGAGTCCACATATCATTTCAACCGTTACTAGATAGATCCCCATTTTTAAATATTACACCCACATAAACTTCCCAAATCATTTTTACCTAAAATGTGATCCAAATCATTATTCTATGTGACTACGTCTTATGAACATTCATCAGAGCCTAAAATCCATGACATGAACGTCTTCAAAAACTGGCTTCCAAATTACACACTAAGTATGAATCAGTAATTACAAACATATAGAAACGCATCCTAACAACAAATCAAGAGTCCGAAACGAAAGCAACATCAATCAGACACAAATTAATATTGAAATTAAGATTTCTAGATTCAATTATCAGCGAATTCAAAGGTTAACAACTAATGCAGTGAAATGCATCACTCTGATCGGCTACAAACGAAATAATTCCATTACAATCTCGTATATTACGTACGCCTAACACACACATACCTGAAGCTGAGGAAGGAAGCCAGCATCGCCTTGAGCTGGTGGAGAAGGAAGAAATCTCCATCATCTGAAGAATCGAGGAATCACAGAGCGGGAAGAAGGGTTCCAGGCAGCTTTACAATTGAAGTGGCGCGTGATTCGTCGTCGTCGTGTGGTTTGTTACACGTATCAATTGTTATTAACGTAGAAAGAGCATCTTAAATTGGGTAAAAAGAGCTTTTTTTTAAGTAACTAAATTCAGAAAATATCAATATTAATATATTACGGTACTCGTGCAATATACATCTTAATTTTAATATTTTATTTTAAATTTTATCTCAGTCATTATTATAATATGATTTTACGTGATTTTGAAAAAACGATAATGTTTTTATTTTGAAATAAAATATGAATTTATCATAAAAAATGACAAAAATATATCAATATTAGTATCAAATTAACTATTTAAACTTTCTTATTTTTTGTGTAAATTTTTAATTCAATTTTTAATTATAATTTAATTTAGGTTCAATAACGAAGTAATTTATATTTGATTTAGTTTAATTATTTTGTTAGAACTCGATAATTATCCTAATTATATTTTAGATTTTTTTAGATTTTAAAATGAGATGTTTATCCTCTATTTGATTACGTTTATCCACAGTTAGTTACACGAATTCAAACATGTAGCTTTAATAAGTTGTACTTATGCATAATTTACTTGTAATCTTGAATTTTAAGTAATATGCATCAATATATAGTACTTTATGCATAAAAAATTGTTTTTAAGAATTTTTGTCAAATGCTTTATAATATAGTATAGATATATACGTTAAAAAGGAACAACCAAAAGTGAAAACCATGATAATTGAGTATTGAGGTATTGGTGATCATGGGCTTTGAAAGTTTTTTTTTGTTTTTAATTAACTTGAATATCCAACCCGCTATGCAAGCCGAGTAATCCCAGAACGACCACCTGCTTTGTAGATAGCTCGGAGTCACCGCATTTGAACCTCTGTGGCCACAAGGGGATTTTTATTCCTCCTTGGATTTGAACATGGGACCTCCTGGTATTTTTGACCTTTGGAGCTAAGTTCAAACCAATCAGACACCACCCTTGTGGTTGGCTTTGAAGGTTTATTTGGATGACCCTATTGAGTATTAAGGTATTGGTAAATTGTGGTTGAGTTTTAGATATCCTACATGGGTGAGAGGTTAAAAGATTAGAATAAAGATGTATATACAAGAAAGAAAGATTGGCCTGAATTGATCCATCCCAGCACGTGTAGTTGTTGTGTCTCAATCGATCCATCCCAATACGTATCTCTCAATCGCTCACTCTCAATCGTTAAACCTTGGCCTAAATTGATCTTGGTCTTTAAAAACATAATCGATCCTAGTTGTTGTTGCTTGGGTTCAGCCATGGGATGCTCTTGTTTTGCAGATGCACGTCTAGAATGATGGGGTTTAGGGTGTAGTTGCTTTCAAGGTTGGCCCTATTTATTTGTTTGGTCTCGTTCCAGATCATTTGTTAGGAATTGTTCTTGTTTAGATGTTATGGTGGAATAGGGTTAGTGGAAAATTCGGTAGTTCATGGTGAGGTTCTATTTTATTCCATATCTTATTGATACAGATTTCAAATTTCAAACGTTTGTCAGTTTACAAAACAAGCAATCTTATTGATTCAAATTTCAGACTTCAACACCACATCTGATAAATCATAAGTGAAATAAGAATTCAGATTTCAACACCTATTAAAAAACAAACGCCACCTAAGAGACTAAAATAATAATGGATTGTAAACCATGAGGATGAAAATAACAATAAACTTTAAACTGTATATTGTCTATGGGACACGATTGTAATGACCCGTTGTTTACACGTTTGTTATAGAATTAGTCTCTTACTCTTACGACCGTACAAAATTGGTCCATGTCGACCACTATATTCGTTAGCTACAAAGGCTTTTTTTTTTGTTAACAATTAATATTAACACTTGTAACCACAAGGGTGATGCCTGATTGGTTTGAGTTTGGCTCCAAAGGTCAGAAATACCTGGAGATCTCAGGTTCAAATCCAAGGAGAAATAAAAATCCCCTTTGTGGCCACGGAGGTTCAAAGGCGGTGACTCCGGGCTATCTGCAAAACAGGTGGTCGTCCTGGAATTAGTCGGCTCGTATAGCGGGTTAGATATCCAGGTTAATCAAAAAAAAATATTAACACTTGTTTTTCTTTTAATCACCATCTTCACTCAAGATCAAAAGCCTAAAATCTAAGGAGAAGTAAAAATCTCCTTGTGGCTACGGAGGTTTAAATACGGTGACTCCGAACAACCTGCAAAGCAGATGGTTGTCCTAAAATTAATCGGCTTGCATAACAGGTTAGATATACAGGTTAATAAAAAAAAAGCCTAAAATGAAATTCACAAACCTAACTCAATATTTTTAGTGTTAATATTCCCGTTCGATGGAGCAATTTCGTTGATGCACGAGGATATGAATCCTCTTTTGTGTTTCTTTCTACCTTCTTCCCCATCCATTTGCTTTCTGACATCTATTAGGTTATAAATATTACATTCATTTTGTTCATATCTGTTATTTGATCGTAGTTAGTTCTTCTTAACTAAAGGTCATTTGTTCTTGTACGTTTGTCACTATATTTTATCATAACGGCATTTGTTCTTGTATGCGACCTTCGGATGGCGACCTCGACTCAATCCCATGGTGCCTTAAAATATGAAATGGAAAATATCAAGTGACTTTGCGAGGTGTCGAGCATTTGGCTGATGAATAAGTGTCGGTTAGTGCACACTTAATCAACAGATAAACTCTTTGCTTTTGCCAAATGAAGGACATATTTAAGCTTTCCTTTTGGTAGATGTCAAACTTTCCATTTTTGTGCATAWTACATAAGAGATGAATAGAGTTAAGGATGGTGATTTGTCCCGATCCGAACARGATGGGGATTCTCTGTTAAAGCGGGTTCGGGGCTAGGGATCCCCGGTAGACACAAGTCGGGGTCGAGGGCTGTTACTCAAACCGGGGTTGGAGTCGGGGCTAGGGATCCCTGGTAGACTTAAACTAACGGATATTCTTCATGGGGTTTACCGGGGACGGGATGTTAATCCTCGTACCCAGCCCTGGTCGGAGCATGGGGATTACAAAACCCGCCTCATCCCCGTCCCATTGCCATGCCTAAGTAGAGTTGTTCACTAGTGGAACTGCTTGTTAGACTCGTCTTTTATCTGACTCAAAAAAGCGRGCTTGAAGTTGGACTAACATTCTCGAATAAATGGGTGGGCCCACTCCGCCTTGTTAAAATTAATAGGTGGACATGGACGATGCAAAAAAATGGGTCAGGCCACCCCGGTCCATTAATTTTTTATAATTAAATTTACAACTAAAATTGAAATTTCTTGCTATTTATCAATTCCCATTTAATTATGCTCGTGATATTAAGTTTTTAGGAAATCTAAAAACATACTTACCTCAATTGATCAAAAGTTTACTGTTTCATTTGGTCATTTTCTTTATCGATAATCCATATTTTGTGGAATTTTTTTTTATAAATTATGTACATTATGTATTTACGTCAGCTTTGAAATTAGAAAAATTATTATGTATTTTGAATTATTTTATATAAGTTTTGTTTTTCTTAAAAATATAAAAAAGATTTATAGACCCATTAGTTCGTGAACAAGACCGGTCCGTTTACAGGGCAAGTTTTCAAGCCTGTCACAAAGGCTTGAGTTTGCTATATTACCTCGTTGGAGAAGAAAATAGATTAGTATCGGCTTGATCCTTTGCCAAGCCCGCAAATGATCAGTTCTACCTAAAAGACCAGTTTTCAGTAAGCAAAAAAAATATCTCGGGCCTTGGATATGAAAATAAGCAGCATCCCCAAATTTTGTATGCTGAGTTCTTTCGGATTTTTTCAGACCCGAACTTCTAGAAAGAACATGATACTATCAGTCTTTTACCTCTARAATTTCATTTAATAAAAATAAAGTAAGGAGTCGTTTACCAAACACTTACGTGGTAAAATTTAACATTATCATTTACTTACCGGGTAAGATTCTAGTCCACTAAAACGGTATCGTATGCAACAATTTACCTGGTAAACGTTTACCGTATAAGACTTTTAGTTCTTGCTCGTTCTTACCGGGTAAGATTCTTGGTCCTTACCATATTTATCCAGTAAAGTAATATGACTTGATGTTCACTTATCTGAATAACGTTTGGTAAACGGCTCATAAGTAAAATTTGTGGAACACAAACACAATTACTAATTTCTAGTATATTTAAGATGTAATCATAAAAATATTTGTATTTTGTAAAAAAAAAAAATTATTTTCTATGACCAAAATATTTTATTCGAAATAACAAAAATGTATAAATATCCTCACGCGATCCATGTACACCCCGCATCACTCTATAAAAACCAAGCATTCCACCATGGTGTAGGGATGTCATGACACGTGGAGGAAAACCAGTGGTGGAATAAAGATGAGATCCAATCCRTGTAATCCAATGTGTGTGGTTGCACCGGATATAACCTCAATAAACCAATCAAAATCATTCAAATTTATATAAAAAACAAACTAAAGCCTTCATCTTTGAAGTGCAATCTCCATTCTTGAATCTTCAACTTCCTGCAAAGAAGATGGCATCCATTTCTGCTTCCATTTCTACCCCTTCTCTCCTCCAGAAGCCTTCGATTACCGTCCGTGCTACCCCGATCCTCGGTACGTTTCGAATTCACTGTTAGTTGTGTATAAACTGTCTTATAATAGATAGATACGATAGAGACGTAAGTACAACAATCAAGGTTGAACAGTCTTAACTATTTGCAAACCTATTAAGTTCATCTAGTCGGATGAATGGCTGTTTGTTTACCTTCTAATAGTTGCATTGAGAGACAGYCTCTGAACCGATAAGAGGTGAACCATGTTTGAAAAAAAAAAAAAACTCTGCCTATTAATAGTATTAAAACTCTCTAAATGATTTTGTATTTTGAGCCTCCCTGAACCATTTAACGCCCTAATTTTCAATCTGAACAATTACCAAACAATCATATTTCATTTTGTACTATATCATAAAAACCTCTTAATCATCTTGCACCAAATCATTCARTAATTGTCAAACAACCCCTTAATAATGAATGAACTCTAATCATCTTGTCTAAAAATACTCAAATCGTAAAAAATGAACTCCATAAGTATTATTGTTAGGGTTGAAAATTGAAATGCCATGAGACTAGTTGCKTCAAATTCAATGCTCGTTGTGTATAAAGTGTATTATAAGTTATAACTGATAAATACATAAGTATTGCTATTAAGTATGAAATACCACAAATATAATTGTCTCAAATTCGATRCTAGTTATGTATAAACCGTCTTATAACTAATAGGTACGTGGSCATTATTGTCGGGGTTGAAATACCACGAAATTAACTGATTGATGGTCTAAAAGTACCCTTCAACTCGTTTTAATTTGTTTGAGGTGTTTAGAACRTGTGTCGTGCTTTCAAAATGATTGTTACGACTTTGAAGAATTAGAATCAAATCGATTAATTAAAGTTATGGTATGATAAAGTAACCTTACATTTATCTTTAATAATCAGTTAGAGGTGTGCRGAAAATCAACCGATCCAATTGAAACGAATCGACCATAACTGGATACCCAATGGATGTCAACCTATGAATAGACCTATGATCGGTTATCTTGCAACAACGTTTTTCGTAAATTAATCAAAATCATAATCGATTTTTGTCAAATATTCAAAACTGATTATTGCAACTTTAAACAACCGTGAAAGTTGGAAACTCCTTAGGGGTCAAATACCCGAGTTCGATTCCGTAATGTGTTGGGCCACATTCCGTTTTCCAAAGAAAAACAAAGTTTATTCAATTCATGTGAAGAAAACACAAAAAAAAAACATGGTTGTAACGAAAAATATAAACTAATGGAAGTTGTTATTGTTGAATAGGGTTGCCATCGATGAGCAAGATGGGGAAAGTGAGATGTTCGTTGGAAATTAAGCCCGCAGTGGCATCAGAGGATGCTGCACCAAAGTTGAGGATGGGTGCACCATCCTTGATGGCKGCAGCAGTTGCCGCAACCATGTCGAGCCCAGCAGCCATGGCTCTTGTGGATGATAGAATGAGCACAGAAGGAACCGGGCTACCCTTTGGTCTAAGCAACAACCTTCTCGGGTGGATCCTTTTTGGTGTTTTCGGTTTGATMTGGACCCTTTACTTCGTGTACACCGGCAGCCTTGAAGAGGATGAGGAATCCGGTCTATCTCTGTAAACTTTCTTACCTTAAACGACAATGTGCCAATTGTGATGGACTTATGTGTAATATTATTCATGTATCCTTTCTRCTTTGATTGAGGCATATTTATGTTTATGAAAATTGCACTTTGGTCCTTCTAGATTTGAATCTCGACACATTTCTTGTAAAGTCCGATTCCATTTTTCGCATCTATTATGAAAGAAAATATCGAATACAACTGTTTATATCATCTCAATAACATGGTAAAAAAAAAGATACTCAGATTTGTATGGATGTATAAAGCAAACRATGAATGTTCGGCTATGGTCAGAGAACTGTCGATCTGTCTGTAAGACCATGGGTTCGACCACTGTTATATTCATCGACAAAACAATTATGTTGTCGATATGGAGAAACTGAAACGAAGTTATACTATTCTTCATTTTGAGACGGTATAACTTCGTTTCAATTTCTTCATACCCACAACATAATTGTTTATCAATGAATATAACAGTGGTTGAATCCATGGTCTTAAAGACACGTAGATAACTCCCTAATTATATGTATCACTTGTTTCATAGAATAAGCAAGTGTGAGGGCAAACCCCAAGCCCAACTTTTGCAACTTCTATTTGATTCATAGTCCAAAATCCCGGTTTTCTTGAGCTCATCATTTTCACCGAGCAGTGTTCAATCGCACCAATATTACTAGCATTTGAGCATACCCGTTAACCTTTGAGAGCTCGTTCAACTTGGCAAATAAAGGCTAGGCCTTGGACTTCTCTTCATAGATCGCTAGTTCGAATCTCCTTACGGTTATTGGGGATTTTCTTGATTGTTATCTTTAGGGCCCTCGGGATTACTCTAGGTGCATGCAAACTGGCTTAGACACCCATAGTTTTAAAAATGCTTGATGGCATCAATGCCTTGAGCTTCTCTTAAWAGATCGTTAGGTTATTGAGGATTTTCTTGACTGTTATCTTTAGGGCCCCATAAGATTACTCCAGATGCATGCAAGTTGGCCCGGACATCCATATTAAAAATAAATAAAAAAACAAAGATGCTTGACGGGATCAACGCCTATCTGATCGTGCTCTCCGGTCATGCTTATCTCGTCCACTAGCAAAGAACGCCCTTCTAAAAAAATTTAGATGGCCATTCTAGATACAGCTTACGGGCCTAGACCGTGTGAATTAGTGGTGCATTCGGGCTGCCGATACGACTTCCAAAAGAACGCCCATTCGATGAACAAGCCACCTTGTCAAACATGATCTCCTATATCAAGAATCACAACTGCAACTACAGTCTAGCGATCCACAAGGCCCCAATCTTCCAAGCTCGTTTTCAGTAACAAAAAAAGAGTCTCGACTTTTTCAAGCCCGAACGCTTTTGGAAGAAAAATTTGGCTCAATCCGGCTTTTAGGCCTTACATGGCCTGSGCTTCGGGCTTGCTAGACCCGGACTTTTTCGGATCGGGCTTTTGGGATTTGGGTTTTTTGTAAACAAGGTTGAAGCTGGATATCTCTTGCTTCCTCCCTTCTCTTACAGCACTAACTATGAGAAAATCCAAGAAAAAGAGTCCGACCAGGACTCGTGTCGGAGGACTTTTGAGCGTGAGCCACCACTCATGCAGCGACAAGGACCCGCAACTCTCGAAGGGGCCACCAACCACCCGAAGCGCGCATTCACGCTACCAGAGAGCGCGTAGGGGGTTTGGAGATAAGCCAATACACAGGTGTGGATTTAGTTAACACCCATCATCTCTAGATTGTTGCTTATATCTTTAACAAACTGTCAAACCATCTCTCTTTCTGAAGTTACCAACTGCAGATACAGTAATAACCAGAAAACCACGGTGACGGTTTCTATCGACTAGACTTGGACCATCGAACCATTTCTTCTCGATATATGATGGATTCTCCGTTCTCTTCTCCTGAAAGGGCTCTTTTAGACGGTAATCTAACCGGGTTTCACATATTCTCGTGAATCCGATCTCGCATTGTGACTGGATCTCTCATCGATTAACCAGATTCAGAAACTTTTTATTCAGATTTAGAAACCAATTAAGAACAAAAGATAGAAGTTGGGAAGAGATGAATGATTCAATTCTGAATTCATCCAGCCATTCTGCATCCCCTTTTTATACAAGAAGCTCATGATGGCTTCAGGAATCTGCCAGGAAATTGCTCCTAAATGATACATACAGATTCTGTATCTATATATATATATATATATATATATATATATAATAACAATTCTTTATACAGGTTGTTACTATATAAACGCCAAATAAAGTTTGATTGGTCCGAGAAAATTGCGGTTAGACGTTTCTGCTAGGAAATAGCTAACTACTTAACTTAACTAGAGCAGTCAAGCTAAAAATTAAATTGAAAAAAAAAAAAAAAAATTGTTTCCTGATGGTTCTAAAACTCGTTGAATGATTTTGTATCTTGAGTTTTCCTTAACCATTCAGTACCCTAATTTCATTCTGAATAATTATCAAACAATTATATTTCATTTTGCACTATATTATAAAAGTCTTTTAATTATTCTGACCACTTAATCATTCTACACCAAACCATTCAGCAACTGTCAAACAACCCATAAATCTTTCGGTTGTGGGACTTTCAGAGATTTTAAATCCAACCATTCTTTTAAACCAAACATAGGATTGATTCAATTCAATTCCAAATCCAAATCCTACTAAATCCGGCAAACTAAATGGGTCGTTACTGTCTCTTACCGGTTAACTAATACTTATCATCTCTTATCGTGTAAGAGATGTTCATCTCGTAAAAATGTCTTTTACCAACAATCTTACCATGTGTAAAGACTGTTATTCAGTTAAAGCATCTCCAACAGACTCTCTAAAATAAMGAAAATGAGGCTTTTGTTCTCTATTTTGCTGCAACGGGTTCTATAGAGAAAACTAAAAAGAAAAAAAATCTAAATTTAGAGATTTCTCTAAAACGTTGATGGAAGGAGACAGATTAATTTTTATTCATTCCCGCCAATGAGATTCAATTATTACATTAATTCATATATATTCTTTAAACAACGTATTAGAATGATAAACTTATAGCATATTTTTTATAATACAATAGATGTTGAAATCTCTGAAATAAAAAATTAGTTGGAGTTGAATGTAATATTTTTAGAGATTTTTGCCGTTTAGTTATCTATTTTTACCGATTAAAAACCCTAGAATTACCAAAATCGAAGTCATCGACGTTTTGTTCGGTTTGATTATTTGACAGTTGTTGAATGGTTTAGTATAAAATGATTAAGAGATTATTATGATGCAGTGTAAAATGAAATATAACTGTTTGGTCATTGTTCATAATGAAATTATGGCGCTGAATAGTTAAGGGAGACTCAAAATACAAAATCATTCAAAGGGTTTTACAACTTTTTTTGTCAAATAAGATTCACCTCTTAACAATTCAGATATTGTCTCTTGATGGAATTGTTAATAGGTAAACATTAAACAAACAGCTCCTAATCTGCATACAGAAACAAAATCGTATCACAAACCCTAGAATGATCGAAATCCATGAACAAAATTGACTCGAAAAAACAAAATCCTTCAATAATCAAAGTATTGGATTCAAACAATTAAGATTTGATCGAACGATTTTGTTCGTGAATAGAAACAAAAAACTGAGCAGATGCGTAGCTTCTCGAAGGTTAAGGTTTTGACCACCGTCAACGGTCGAAGGCAACATCCATGGAGCTCCCCTTGTCACTTTCCATATTTACTCCCACACCTTYAGTTTCCATCTCATTTGGTCTAATTTCTTCAAGAAAAAAAACATGATAAGTAAAATAACGTAATTTGATTTGATTTTTATTTTGGGTAACATATTTCAAAACTTATATTTTAGTACCTAAGATGTAAAATTTTAAACATTTAAATATCCGGGCAATAGGTTGAAGCATTAACCAGTTATCATACTGATATGACGAGTGATGTGATATCAAACTCAGTATTATTTGCTGACGTGGTTAGTAACATAGATTTTTTTTAATCTAAAATTAGTTTCAACCGGTTACTCGGGTACTTAAATGTTTAGAACTTTACATCTTAGATATCAAAATAAAAGTTTTAAAAGTACGTTACCCAAAATAGAAAAATTAAAATACATTACTTTTTCATGCAATTTGTTCTTAATTTTAGTGGTTTTTATTTACCACCAACCAAAAGATATAAACCCGCAAAATTTTAGCACAAAATTTGGTATGTTATAGTTCAAATGAGGTGGTTTATTAAAATTTTATTTGGATATCACTTGTTTTACCATAAAATATGGAAACAATTGAGAAATTTATCCGGTAAGAAGCATAAAAAAAAATAGTCGGGCTTTGGCCCGGATACCCTGACAAAAAAGAAGCATAAAAAAGATCAAGAATAATATAATTGGTACGGTAATCTTAAAATGGAAGATCAAAAATTATTCCATCAATAATATTTTATTATAAAAAAAAATATTTTATTAAATATTTTAATAATATAATTGGAACGGTAATCTTAAAATGGAAGAAAATGTTGAAATTAAATGTAGTTTCTTTCTAATTTTTTGAAGTTTTTTTTTTAGAATTTTTGTTTTGTTGGAGATATTAGTAGGGGGCGGTTTGTTTACCTGTTGATAGTTACATTAAGAATCAGTGTCTGAATCGCTAAGAATGAACATTGTTTGGTAAAAAAAAATGGTCTTTTATAATTCTAAAATCTTCTGAATAATTATGTATTTTGGCTCTCCCTTAACAATTCAACACCTTAATTACATTGTAAATAATTGTCAAACAATTGTATTTCATTTTGAACTATATCATGAGTAYGAGTGACAAAGGGTTGGGTTGAGTTGGGTACGGATTCAACCMATTTATTAAACAAGTTGAAAATATTAACCCAACCCAACCCATTTAATTAAATGGGTTGAGATTTTTTTTCAACCCAAACCAACATGTTACCTAAATAGGTTGACAGCGAGTCAACATATTTACAATTTTTTTAATCCAGCATGTTAAATAAATGGTTGAACCTAGATTGACCTATTTTAAATTTTAAATAAAAAAACTAGACTGTTTAAATTTTTTTGAATAAAACACAACACAACCATAAATACAAACAAATTGTTCAAGACAATGAAGACRATTGAATTTGGACTTTCATCTCACGATGATATAATTTTTAATTAAAAACAAAACAAAAATAAATATTA